TTACAGGAACGACGTGAACCCTTTTAAAAGATAGGGACAACTATCGACTCACTCCATGACGTTGGTACAGCCTCTAGTTCCCAGACCTTTGTAACCAACGTCGTCAGTTCCTTAGCCAGAAATTCACCACCATCTTTAAAAAGAGCCGAAGGTAAGTCATCTGGGCCAGGTGATTTGTAACGATTCAAGAGTTGGAGTTCCTTGCGGACTTCCACCTCATTTGGTGGACCAGTCGTCACCGGCCATGGAGGGTAGGACAGTCTGACCGATGTTGTCGGAGCAGCAGGCAATTTGAATTGCACTTCGAATTCTGCCCATCGTCCAAGACGTCGATGGATGTTAGTGATTGGCATCCCATCATCCTCACAGATTGTTTCACTCACAGCAGACTTCTTGCTGCCAGTGGCTCGGATGAGTTGGAAGAGCTTCCGGTAATTACCAGATGCAGCTGCTGCTTCTAGCTCATCGGAACTCTTAGACCACCAGGCTTCTCGGTCCTTACACAAGCTTTGCCCAATTTCATCACGTAACATCCTTCGTTTGTGGTCAAGCTCACGGTCACCCGGAGCAGACTGACGGGCTTCAATGAGTTGTAAGGAGCCTAAAGAAACCCAGTGCTTATAAGCAGGACGTTTCGCGAACCCACAACCGACTGTTCCCGCCATTTTCATGGCGTCATGCAATTGCAACCAATGCTCATCTATACTTTTCGGTGGAATGGTAGCTAGCCTAGAAACTAACTCGATTCGATACTTACTAGCAACAGAAGTTGCAACCAACTTTCTGACATCAATCATTTGGTGGTGGTCACTTTGTTGTCCACTGAAAAGTAAGGTAAGATTGGCGCAGACCAAGGCATGGTCAGAGTCCAGATAGATACTCCAAAAGGAGCGGCAGTCTTGTACACAACCACGCCAGCGGTAGCTGATTGCGATGTGATCAATCTGAGTCCAGGCATGAGATGCAGAAGGAGGACGCCAGGTGGCACATCGGCCATGACTGTGCCGAAAGTTAGTGCTAGCCAGAAACAGGTTTTGGTCTGTGCACAGTTGCAGTAGACGGTCCCTGTTATCTGACCTGCGACCAACGAGCCCCCATCAGCCACCTAAACGACTCTCTTCTGTGCCTAGACGCCCGACCTGAGCATTCACGTCTCCGGCTAGTACTACAATATCTGTCGAACGCACTTTCTGGAGAAGAACAGATAACTGGTGGTAAAACTCATCCTTGATTGCATCCGGGCTGCAATCTGTCGGGGCATTGGCGGAGATGACGAAAAGACATCGTAAACAGGACCCCCGGCACGATAAGGCAATGAGTAGGACAATCCTGGTAGAGGCTGGCCCAGATGACTTACCTTCGGCTCTTTTTAAAGATGGTGGTGAATTTCTGGCTAAGGAACTGACGACGTTGGTTACAAAGGTCTGGGAACTAGAGGCTGTACCAACGTCATGGAGTGAGTCGATAGTTGTCCCTATCTTTTAAAAGGGTTCACGTCGTTCCTGTAACAACTATCGGGGGATAAGTCTACTTCCGATCGCGTCCAAGCTATTGGCTTCCGTCATACTTCGTAGGTTGTTCAAAACCCGAGAAAGATTGACTCGCGAGGAGCAGGCTGGGTTTCGCTCTGGTCAAAGATGCATTGATCATATATTCACCCTCCGCCATACTTATCAAAGGCCAACAATCGTAGTGTTTCTTGACATCAGGGCTGCCTTCGATTCGTTGGACAGGACTGTTCTCTGGGATTGTCTATTGAAGAAGGGTGTGTCTGAGAAGTTTATTAACATCCTATACACACACACCTCAGGCAGAGTGAGGGCATACAACTACCTCTCTCCATTGTTCCATTCGAGCAGTGGGGTTAGGCAGGGTTGCCCATTCTCACCATTCCTTTTCAACTTTGCCATCGATGACATTCTGGAAACAGCTCTGATGGATGTAAGTAGTGGTGGTGTGGATCTGTTGCCTGGAGAAAGACTTTTCGACCCTGAGTATGCGGATGATATTGTCTTACTGTGCGATAATGCCCAAGGCATGCAATCCACACTCAATCAGTTGGCAATCAGTGTCCGTAGGTATGGTATATGCTTTGCACCCTCGAAGTGCAAAGTACTTCTACAAGACTGGCAGGACTCTAATCCTGCACTCACTTTGGATGGTGAACAGATAGAAGTAGTCGAGAAGTTCGTGTATCTAGGTAGTTGCATAAGTGCTGGTGGGGGTGTGAGTGATGAGATCAATGCACGTATGGTGAAAGCCAGAGCGGCTTATGCCAATCTGGACCATCTTTGGCGCCTTCGTGATGTTAGTCTGGCTGTAAAAGGTCGGATCTACAACGCGTCGGTGAGAGTAGTTTTGCTCTATGCTTGTGAAACCTGGCCTCTCCGAGTTGAGGACGTTAGACGACTCTCTGTGTTTGATCCTCGCTGTCTCCAAAGGATTGCTGGCATCCATTGGCAACACCATGTTAGTAATGCAGAGGTTCGGCATCGTGTTCGGGCACAGAGACGATAATGCAATTGGTGCCACCATCTTGAAACACCGACTTCGGTGGCTTGGACATGTTCTACGAATGTCGTCCCGGAGAATTCCTCGTCGTGCATTATTTGCCGACTCCGAGACTAGTTGGAGAAATCGGGGACGTGGTTAGTGTATGACATGGTGTCGTGGTATGAAAGAAAGCTGAAAAGGGCTTGCCTGTGTCAGTCTTTCATGACTCCCTAGCTGGGGTCCTAGAGATGGCGCAACACAGCGGCTAGAGACGTTATCAGATATAACTCAGAATAGAAGCCAGTGGCGATCCTGCTGTAACCTTCTTTTACTTTCTTCATAAAAAGTAGTATCTTCTTTAACTGAAAGATTTCTTCTGATTGTACCTATCCGCTTCCCCCATTATTATTATTATTGTTATTATTATTATCATTATTACACTACCGTACACTAATCTGTTCGTTATTGTTCTTTTTTTCATTTAAGCTCTTTACCTTTTTTTCTCTTCGAATTCTCATTGTTTTGTGTGGCGCATAGATATTTGATGCCCTCTTGTAATAATATTTATGTGTAATAAATAATAAAATTGTTGCCTCAGACCTGGTCGAGGCTGCCTCGATCACATATTCACCATTCGTCAGGTTCTGGAACACAAGCATGCCTATCAGAGTCTGACAATGGTGATCTTTCTTGACTTAAAAGCAGCATTTGACTCCGTAGATCGCGAGATTCTGTGGCAGTGTCTGTCATTGAAAGGTATACTTCAGAAGTACATAAACCTTGTGAAGGCTCTTTACTCGAACACTACTAGTCGAGTCAGACCTTATGGCGAACTGTCATCTGCTTTTACAACCTCAAGTGGTGTTCATCAAGACTGTCCACTTTCTCCATTTTTGTTTAACTTCATCATACCTATGAAATGAAAATAACATTCTCGTTGACTGAATTCTCGGGTAATGATCTCCTTACAGGAGGTCCACTTATCGACTTAGAATACGCAGATGCATAGTTCTGTTTGGTGAAGACGCTGATAAAATGCAGTCTTCTGGTAGCCCTAAGCAACAATGCCAGAATGTTTGGAATGCGCTTCTCTCCCTTTAAATGCAAGTTCTTGCTTCAGGACTGGTCTGCGTCAACACCTGAACTAAGGATAGGGAGTGAAGTCGTCGAACACGTCGACGACTTCACTTATCTTAAAAGTCTGATCAGCCCTGATGGGTCGGTGTCTGACGAAATCTCTGCACGGATTCGAAAAGCTCGTTTGGCTTTCGCCAACTTACATCACGTATGGCGAAGGCGAGATATCCGTCTATCAATAAGTGTAATGCGCGGCAGTTCGTTCTGTTCTACTTTACGGATGCCGAACGTGGTCACTAAGAGCAGATGTTCGTAAGCTACTAATATTCGACCACAGATGTCTTAGAAATATTGCCAGCATCTTCTGGGATCACTTGGTAGGTAATAGTGAGGTTAGACGTAGGGTAATAGGGGCTCATGGTAAATCAATTGATGAGGTTTTAAATCGTCATAGACTGAGATGGTTGGGCCACGTGATACGTATGCCTGAACATCGATTATCACGACGCACAATGCTGACTAGTGTAGGGGATGGTTGGGAGAAAGTTAGGGGCGGCCAAACCAAAACGTGGCATCAGTGCTTGAAGTCACTAACTTCTGGTCTGAGCCATGTTGGTAGATGCAGACTACTTGGTTGGGGTGCGCGCGACTGTCGTAACCAGTGGCTAGAGACTCTGGGTGACATGGTTCAGAACCGATCACAATGACGTAGATGTATACACTCTTTGGCTTCCCTTAAAATGAGGTTGGAATCGCTTCATATCTTTCTACGAATTAATTCTTTCTTTTAGATATTACTACCATTGAAGTGACAACTATGAATTCGGTGTTCCTCTTGCTGTGCTAATAAGGTATTGCAACTTGGACCGATGCACATATGCGCCTGGTCCTACGTTGTAGCTGACTGACTGACTTCAATCTTTGACGGAATTAGAGTGAATCAATACATTTTCCGCTGAAACCTTAAGATCTAAAAGCTGAGCAACCGTTAAACACTCCAAAAACAAAGATTATATATCAACAGATAATTTAGTAAACCAACATTTTCCGGTTAGCCTTTTGTTGATGAAAACCAACTATCACTAAGTAAACGACAAAATTTCAAGTTACTTGCAATATCTAAATGTACCAACTTTTCGTCTCCTAAAATTACGGAATTTGTGGTGTTAATTATTGGTTTTTAACCGTGATTTCTCCAGTATTTATGATAATTCTCCAAGTTCTGTGCTTCATTATACAACTAACCGTAAAAGCTTACCTACTCATCTGTGTGCAGGATTTTACGCTATGACTCACCTGTTATTAGCCGTGGTTAAAAATGTCCGACAATAAAACTGAATGGGTCAAAAAAAGTTATTTCACGTATAAGTTTCGCAATACTTGGACATGAATTAAACACACTTCCCTTCAAAAAAAATCGGAAAACTTACGAGTGCCCATCTTCGTCCAACTGCTTTGCTACTATCCTTATCTACAGAAGTGAGATAACGAATTATAACTCACCATGAGACAATAAGCGTAAGGGGATCTCAAAGTAGACCGAGTAAACTTTTGAATCATTTTCGTCACAGCAAGACGATCAGATTGACGAATTAAATACAACAGACCAAGAGCATGATATTGTACCATTACACGAGAGCCCGATGCAGCTTCTTGTACTTCATTCGTCCATCTTTTGATTATATCCGGACAAACATCCATTAACTTATATGCTGACGTCAACACAGATGATGCTATTGCAGGAGATTTATCTACTACAGCCTGTTTTAGGTAGCGTTCAATACTCTGGACCATCGCTGCCTAAAAAAGAAAATAAAACTGAATTTGAACTTACATCCGTAATAGTGCAAAGCGCCCGAATTGCAGGACCTCGAAAAGCAATTTCTGGGCCGGTCATATCTTTAGTTAAGCTACGGAGGAGTTATTATTGAAGAAGGTACCTGCTAGTAACAATAATCACGTCATCAGCAACAGCAGACAATTCTTTAATTACTAGGTACAGCATGCGACGAAGATTTTGCTGAAGACAAAAGTTAGGATCAAACAACATACGTCATTGGATTGAAACAACTTAGTCATCGCGAAAAAAGCATCCGTTGCTTCTACCTTCCCCAACTTTTCACTCTATATATCCAGTTTAAGAATAATGAATTAATTTAAACCTGCTCCAAAATCACTAGAATTTTAGTCAATATGTGCACACATTTCCTTGGGTTAAGTGTTGTTTGATTAAACAGGCGGGCCTAAAATATTTATATATATAAATAGAGAGAGAGAAGTTTTAAATACTTCTTGCAAAACCACAGATTTATCCAGCTTAGCATACACTGCTCCGTAGCCTGGAAATAGACAAAAGCATTACATGTGAGGCACATAAACACCAAGTCGCAAAAGACCAGTGATGAGGCAACGAGACCTTCCTTACCTTCTTCCTCTTCTTTTTTATCTTTCCTCTTAGAGCTGACATCAAAAAACGAGGCCATGACGCGTCAGGCAGTTGAAGACCGCGCGCTGCTACGACAGTATATCTACAATCCTCACTCGAGGTAACGTAAAGATTTCGATGTCCTTTAAGATCAGTGTTTGTGGTATAGAAGGTTGCTTGAAATTGAAGAAAAATATGAATTATGGTACAATCCGTTGGGAACATTAGAAAAACAACAATATGTTAATAAATTCAGTTTCTGTTCGGAAAAAACATGATCCAACTTTCTTTTGAAGGCGTTGACAGATGGAGTCTCAGTCATTTGTTGAGGTAATAAATCACACTCGTTGATGGTCCGAAGGAGAAGTCGGTATTCATCCGACATGTTATTTGTCCTGGGCTTGTGAACATTTTAGAATGTACTCGTAAACTATGTTTCGGAAGACAAGAACAAGAAAAGCATATCAGATGCAAAGTTATCGCTAAGTAATTCTAAAAATATGATAAATTCACCTCTGAAGCTTCGTTACGACAAGAGGATTAGGTTTTCTAGTTTAGTTAGTCTGTCATCGTACGTGAACTTAGTGACTCTGTGAATCAGCTTAGTTGCAGTTCCTTGATCCTTTTCCAATATCTCACTTTCTCTTTTTAAGCAAAGGCTAGCCCCTTGTGTGTAATACTCATGTTAATGCTAAAGAACAATGTGCACAAAGTCTGAATGGTTAAAACGTTGACATGGGTAAATTTCCTATGTAGTGACCAATCGGTTCTAAATAATTAACATCTATCGCACTGCAGTTTGCAGTAGTTTTTAAGTTTCCGCTAACAATGAATTCCAAGTTAATAAGTGTCTGAACGACAAGTAGCTCACTCTGTATCCATTCCCACCTTGGTGACCGATGTGCAACATGATACACTTGAGAGCATTTATTCCCGAATAATAGAGCTCAAAAAAATTTACTTCGATACCTCTATTCCCGAATTCGGTGTCTCAAACACAACATTCTCTGAGAAGTAGATTCCTAGACGGTAGAACTCGTTGCAAAACGTAAGCAAGTTATTTATCGCAGTCACTTTCATCTGTAGTTATAAATAAGACACTAAACAATATTACTGTAAGTCTTGGACATTGATGCTGATCTCATTAATTTTATTGGACACACTCAAGTTGGATGTACAGGGTCACGCATCCGCATCAGATCACGAGTAAGTGTGTTGGGCTACGCATCCGAAGCAGCCACTAACCAACTTAGACTAAAATTTTCTCGACACATCGACAACATCCTAAATATTTATTCCGACACTTTTATCTCTAACTTCTGGTTTGAGTAGTTTGGTACGGTTCTTTTATTAAGACGTTACAGACCAAAGCGTTTTTTTTAACATTGAGTGTCTATGGGATATTTACATATGTAGTGGCTGTACATGCTTGTGAATTTGCACTTATTAGAACTTATAATGAAGTCAAACTAGTAAATCACTGTTATCCTCCTAGTAACTTCGTATTTATCATAATTACTTATGCCCTACAAGTGTGTGCTTTTGTGCCGTTGCGTGTTTCTATTCGTCGTATATTTTGTGTACATTGTATTTGAATCATAAGTAATCTTATTTCAAGACTTATAATAAAAGATGGCATTTAGCCAACCCCCAACTGTGCACCTAATCACTTTACACTCACTGTTTGTTTACAGATGTGAATGTGGGGAATGTATTCAACTTAGCATTTTTTTAAAACCCCACTTTTGACTCTGTCTTATTTGAACGTGTTGAATCATGAAACATATCTACTAATCAGTGATACATATGGGGAGGGCTGAATCGTGAAGTGTTAAGCCCTACTGAGGATTGAAATGCACCATTAGAAATTCAGGGCATGCGATAAAACTTTGAAAGTCAATGATGAATAGGTAGTCTACAAACAAGGTCCATACTTGTAACCAGACTCACGAAAACATGGTAGAACAGCCTTTGACTCATCAAGTAGTCGGCATTTATTTTTTCACACATAATGAGATTGTTAAGTTATTTACTTTATTTATAGGGTTACAATATTAACTCATTCGATAACTGAGTTTATTATTATGGTTTCGTAACAAAACTACTAAATTCTTCTTCCCTATTTTTGCACTGTCGAATGATAAGAACCTTTTTCAATGTATAATGAGATTATCTCACGTTTTAATGAGTGAACTTTGACCTTATCTTATCTACATTACTAGGACTGTTTTAAAAGCGAATCGCCATATGCATATTTTTCCTCTATTGTTTGTACTTCATGACAAATAGATTTGAACGTGTCCGTATTCTTGTTGTACTAACTTCTAGCGTCACCAAATCTTCATATCACACAGTTAACGGTGCGTAACCATTTTTTTTACGAACCAGCCCTCAAAAACAGTTTACATGTTACGGTAATATTGGCAGTTTTTATTACGGTTTCATGGCCAGTGTGATCAAGCATATCTGACTACACTGAGATTAACAATCAAGCAGTAAAATAATTCTGAATATTTCCAGTCTATAATTAATTCTCTGTCTACCGTGCTATTCCGCCAATTCATTTTCAACATGAACTCAATGCTTGGTGAAGTATTACCGATGACCACATACACCTAGTTCCTAATATAAATAACAGCAGTACAACAGTGTGCATCGCTTCATAAAACTCGTATAAAAGATGAGTCAAACAATCCTGAGAGGCTAAAAATGCAAATGGATTCCGATAGTCGCATAACTGTACAGTATTGATGAATATCTTCCTTTTCTTCGAAATATGTTGTCGGAATGGGTTATATGCTTGAGATCAAATCAGCATGAAACTAATATGCTGGCTTTAGACCCTTGTTTTGTCGCTTCAAACTCTCCTTAGTAAGTCAGTCAGGTTTGTTGTTGGTTGTTGGCTATTAATATATTTCAAAATGCGAAAATATGAGCAAAGAAACATCTGAAGCTCTCAATATGGCTTCGAATTTATAACCGTTTTAACTATCCATTGTCTATGTCCAGTGACTGTACAACTTACCTAAATTCATGCCCTCAAAAGCATTTTTTACTGCTATAGTTGTTTTTATACTGTTCATTTTCAGAGAGATTAAATAGAAAATAGTATTCTGCAGTCCTGTAATTCAGTTCAAATACACAGTAATCGCGTATCAAAAGATCTAACATACTCATTTTTATGTCACATGAGTGCATATGGACGTGTGGTAATTTTTCTGATTGCATTAACCATATGAACACTTAATTCTTCATTTTGTTTCTTGAAAATGATTTATACGACTTCACAAATAATACTTTGCAAAAAACACCTATAACTAACGGTCTTTGACACCTTCGTTCAGATTCTACTTCGATTCATTTTAACGACTCACCTAAAATTGTTCAAACACCATTATTTTTCATTCTCTCATCCACAAATTACGTTTGTTACTGTGTTTCTGTTATTATTTTTATTAATAATATTTATTCTTAGATAAAAATTCGTTGCATCAGGCACTCTAGTTTACAGATAAGATAACACTGTTAAAAACGCTACAGGCATCACGCCAGTAAGTTGCTCAGTTAGTTTGAGGCATATTTGATATAAAAAAAGAATAAATTTTCACATAGAATAATAATGTTAGTAAGACTCTAACGATCAGTGTGACGAATGGTACGCTTTGTGAATATTGCATTATGAAAAGCAATTGGTGACGCACTTAAAGTCCAGAGCTGTCTATAATAAAAGGTAATGTGGAAAATGCATAACCAGTCATCAAAAGACGTCAATTTGTACGTATTAGCTTTTTATCCGTGATAGTGATCGGAGATAAATTTTGGAGGTGTTAATTACGGAGCAGGACAAAAGTGTACATTCCATATATATTTTCGGTGGCGCACAATCACGGTGCTGAAAAAGAGAAAGAAAAAGGGAAGGACATGAAACAGAACAGATAGTGTTCATGACTAGTGACGTTTATTCGTTTCCGATAAAACAACTGAGTTATGATTACATATGATGTGAACAGGGAAACAAGAAGCCCTGACAAAATACGAAGTCTACTTTACGGGACGTTTTTCCATTTTATTCAAAGCTTGTAAAACAATAACATTTATTTTTGTTCATGTTTTATTCTACAGAACATGAGCATTTGTTCGATTTATCATTCATTGCCATATCTCTTTTTGTTTCGAAGCTATTGTAATTTAAACATAATATTTTGCACCTTATTTTCTATCCTGATACCCTGCTTTTGGACATAATTGTATTTTCCCAAATTGTTGTACGTTGTGGTCGGGCAAATCACTTACTTATTCACATACCTTTTTGCACTAATCTAAATTCAGAGATTTCACAGGAAATCAGTGTATCGGAATAGAGCGAATAGTGTTCCAGTTGTCTTGTCTTCTCTTATTCGCGTGCTTGTCGGCCAATCAGGTGATAGAATAGTTTTCTTCTCTTTAACCCGTCTCGAACTCACGAGTACTAGCCTCAAGGTTAAGCTGGTTGGCCTATTGCGTCAAGGTCTTAATCTAGAGTAAACAGATCAAGGTCGCAACAACTTAGAAGTAAACTCATTCATTAGGTCAATTTCTATGAAAGTGTATATCATCAGGTTAAAGACTAAGAGCCGGAGTATGGCGTTTGATGAACGAAGGGTTGTATAAATGGAGGTGGTTCAAAAGAGCTGCAAGTTTAGAACTAAGTGTATTTTTAGTGTTTAGTAAGAAAAACGCAGTGTTCGGATACAAACCGGCTTTTCTCATCAAAATTATTATAACTCGTTCTCACTTTTATGAATTCTGTAGAGTTATAGGTCAACTCCTACTAAGAAAAATTGTCCAGTTTTGCATTGGCATTTCGCAGTAGAAAGTGAAGCCGATTAAGGTTACAGACATTAGACAAAGTTATTTTGCATAAGAAATCAGCATGACTACCACTGGTTCGTGACATTCTATCAGATCATAAGAAGCCGTATTCTACCAAAACGTCCCGTCCTACAGATATAAGTGGAATAAAGTTATCTCCACACCATCATGTTTGCTAGTCATCAACTCCACCATCCCTACTTTTGTGATGCTATGCTCTCCTACATTTGTGGTGTGTTTAATAG